TTAGCTCCCCCCACTTCTAGCTGGAGCTTTGGATTAATTCTGCTCAGTATCTGTTGTCTCATGGGCAAGATGTGGATCCTCAGGTCCTAGGGTGGTAATAAGAATGGGAGATATAAGCAAAGTGGCTTCCATAGTTCCTCCATAATGTGTCTGGTCTCATGGGCCCACAGCCTCTGCCAGAGTGAAGTATGGGTCCTCCCTGAACCTCGGGCTCCTCTTCAGCTCCCATAAAGAGTCACCCTACCCTCCTAGGCTGTACTCTATGTTCAATAAACTCCCACCTAAGGTAGAAAAGCCTAACAAGTGATCCCCAAAGCTACCAAAGAAATACATTCTCTGATCTCCCAGCTCCAGGCCTTCCTCCCTCCCAGCAAAGTCAGCCTTTAACTCCCCCACCACCCTGTCTTGCCAATTTATCATACTCCCTCCACCCAGGGGACAAACAAGGGAAATTAAAAAGGTGAGAAAATCAGCTGAGTCTTGCAGGTAACTAGTTCCTTAAATGTAGAATTACCAACCTATGGAAAGAAGTTTCTTTCTTGCCCATAAAACATCTCTCCACTACTCCAGAAACCTCGAGGCCCCCTTCTCCCTGCTCTGTGCAGGTCCCTGCATAGAGCTGTGTCTCAACACAATGGTTTTCCTTTGTGATCCTGAGTGTTGTACCATATGCATTTTAAAAGCATTATTCTCAAAAGGCATCCAGAGCTTCCCCAGTTTGTAAAAAGGGTCCAGGGCACACTGGAGCCTGCGTGCACGGGCATGCACACACACACCACACACCACACACACACACACACACACACACAGTCTCAAAGCTCTCTCTTTGGTCCTGGCATGCCAGGCCCTAGGAACTCACAAGTTCCTTGCCCTTCATGAAATTATTTCCTAAATAGGTTTACAGATAGGACCATGTTGCCTCCATCTTTCACTTTCCCTGTGGAAATTCTCCTCTCTTACCTACAAATCTGTGTCACTGAGAAAGACAAAGGGAGAAGCTAGGCAAGAATGACTCTATTCTGATACGTATGCACTTTACCAGCTATGACCCCTACCCTGTTTGGCCAAACTGTTTCATTATCTGTACCCCTGGCTCCCTGCAAGTTCTGGGAGGCCAGGGGCAATGTTGAATCCGTTATTCCACAGCCTAGAAAAGCAACTACGAGGAGCAAGTCTCAGATGGATGGATGCTGAATCCGTGGGGAGGAAAGGCAGCTGTGTGGGAGAGAGAGTTCCAGGGGCACATGGTTTCGCTGCTCACTTCCGTGGGTAAACTTCCCTCCCTTGAGCAAATCTCTAGACATTTCCTCCTGCCTTTAGAGGTCCACTTAGAGCTCTTGGCCTTTTCTTCTTCTTTGGGCCACATGGAGAACAAGCTGGCACAGTGTCTGCCTCCCTGGGTCAGAGTCCGGCCGTGCCTTCTCCGCCCGATTGGAGGTTGCCCTTGCCCTTGCCCTTCCCCTGGGAACGTGGCAGAGTGAACACTGTCCATCCCCCCCGGCAGAGGCCCGGGCTTTCACAAATGACATCTATGGAGCAGTCCACCCAAACCTGTAGAGTACATGTTCCTTGCCAAGTACACACGCAGCATTCCCGGCTACACACTGTATGCTGAGCCGTAAACTAAGTCTCCATACATTTCAAAGGACTGAAGTCACACAGAACATCTTCTCTGAGGACAATGGGAATAAATTTGAAGTCAGCAAACGTTGATACGTGGCAAATCTCCAAATACTTGCAGAAACTCTTGCAGTGCCGGACACAGGGTTGGTCCGCAGTGATTTCCGCCCTGATATCTTTCTCCGCCGGAGTTGCGATCCCTCTGCTGCTGAGAAAGAGGGGAGGTCAAGGTCATGGCTGCAGTCCTGCATGCAGCACACTGGTTGCCCGGTCTACACAGCGAGCTGGGACCACGAGTCAACCTGGGACCCCCCTCTGAGCCCCTTGGCTTTCACCAGATCACATTCACACAGGCAGGGCTCTGCTGTGCTGCCAAATGGGGTCCCCCTTCCCGACCCCTGCTCTCTACTCCGAGGAGCTCAACCTTCTCAAGGGCCTGCTCGGTGTCAGGCCCCACCAGGTGACGGATCTTGCTCTATTCACTCAGAATATTCTCTGGCAAATAAAATGAAGGTCATTTTGTCTAGGGATGTTAAGTGATACTCTTGAGGAAAAGATGAAGATAGCACATCAGAAATGCCTGCTTCCCTTTGCCCGCCATTTTAGGGGGTGCCCATGAGACCAGTGGTATAGTGAACCAGAAAGAAGCTCAACCAGCAAAGTCATTTGACGTAAATGGTGACTGAGGCCCTGACATTGCTGGATTGCGGACTGACGTGGGATCTGAATTTTACTTAAGGGTTTGCTTGAGCTTTTGAAGGCCAATAACCTGATCTGTGTTTTCTGTTCATTATGTAAACGGGCAGTGAAGGTGCTGATAATCCACCCCCCATGAGAGCCAGAAGCTGGGGGAACATGTTATTGGCAGGAATGGGCAGTGTGTAAACAACATTTCGCCGAGACAAAGCTGGTTGGAGCGTCCTTTTCCTACAAGTCAGGATAAAGATCTCCTAGATAGGAATGAGTGGGAAATTGAGACCTTAATTAAAGCACATCTGAAGGGGCTGGTATGTGACAAAACTTCCTCAGAACTCGGCCCATAGAAGGTTCCCAATGGGATCCCATCAAGAGAGGAAGTTTTCAGAGGCAAGATTCAAGCCCAGTTTTGTCACTTTCTAGCTGTGGAGTCAAGGGGACAGGACTTCACCTCAGCCTCCTCGTCTGTGCAGTGGGGATGAGGATGAAAGACCCTACCTCAGAGGGTGGTTGCAATGACGCACGAAGACCCTGAGTGAGTAGCTCACACAGAATAACAATCTAGAGCCCTTGTCATGCCATCTAAGCAAACACACTTAATGTTCAGGACAATCCTAGGAAGGAAGCTATTCCCATTTTGTAGACATGAACATTCAAACCCCGTCAAACTAAGAAACTTGCCCAAGGACACAAGCCGTAAGTCATAGAGGTGGGATTCAGACACAGGTCTAACTCCAGAGCCTCAGGAAACTTCCAGTGTAATAAGAGTGACCCACAGAAACACCACCTCCAACACCAGGAGGTCCAGCCACACTGCCCCGGGGACAATGCGCTGGACTTGCCCTGTAGGAACAAGGGTTAAGGTGCCCCATTTCAGCTGGACCTAGAAGGACATTTTGGTTTTCTTTCTCTCTCTCTCTCTCTTTTTTTAAAGATTTATTTATTTATTTGAGAGAGAGAGAGAAAGAGGGAGCCGGGGGTGGGGGGCAGGGTCAGAGGGAGAAAATTGTCAAGCAGACTCCCAGCTGAGCATAGAGCTCAACATGGGGCTCGATCTCACAACCCTGAGATCATGACCTGAGCTGGAACCAAGCAAGAGTCAGACGCCTGACTGACTGAGCCACCTGGGGGCCCTGACATTTTGGTTTTCACTAAGCAGAGGAGGAAGCAAGGAGAATCTTATTAGTGGAAAACTCATATTGGCAATAGCAAGAAGGTGTGAAAAGGAATTCCCTGTTAAGTAAGACTGGAAGGACAGCTGAGCTGAGCACTGGGCTGGCTGGAGTCTCATATGAACTGACTTCCATGTCTTTGCAAACACCTTGATCATCAGGGGCTCAGAAGGTTAAGCGTCTGCCTTCAGCTCAGGTCATGATCTCAGGGTCCTGGGATCGAGGAGCCCTGGTCAGCTGGGAGCCTGCTTCTCTCTCTCCCTCTGCCCTTACCCCGCTCCCCCCCATGCACGCTCTCCCACTCTCTCAAATATATAAAATCTTAAAACAAACACCCTGCTCAGCAAAGCGCTGTGGATAAGAGCACAAGCTCTGTGTCTGATGGATTGTTGACCTAATAAAACTGTGTGACTTTGAGCAAGAGACTTAACCTCTCTGGTCCTGAAAGGAGATCAACTTTCAAATGGAGGCCATTACCTTAACCCTCTGGAAGGCCGTACTGACTAAATAGGGCATTCCATAAGGGCTTAGCCTCAAGCCTGCTGGCATTCTGATGCTTATATTTCTGCTCCACTAGATGTATGTAGCCTGTGTCTCTGCCATCACTCTGCCCACTGCCCAGACCCCTTTTGCTCAGTGGAGATGTTATCTCGCAGGAACTACTCGTTAATGTCCTAAAAAAGAAAAGACTCAAAAACTGGAGAGCAACGGGGCTTGGTCTGTTAGTATTACTAGAGATGAGTTTCCACAACAAATGACTTGTCCTCTTACAGCTAGAACTGGGGATCTGACTTCATTCCTCTTGCAAAATACATTTTGGCTAAATAACTGTGCTATGATATCATTTGAATTCTCACCATTTGACAGCCGCCGGAGAAGGTACTTTCTGCCTGGACCACAAAGTTGTCTCTATAGGTGTTTGTATTGTATCGTGTAAAATAGGATGACAGATTGGAGACTTTCAGAAAAAGGCACATTTGCTTCATGCTTTCCTCTCGTTCCACACAAATGCACATCTGGAGGGTCTTGTCCTGTGCCTGGGCTTAACTAGGTATTTGTGATTCTTTAAATCAAAGGTCCTAAGATAACACATCTTTTCAAATTTCACCATCTCCAAATACACACACGTCTTACAACAAGCGGTGTTCGGTAGTTTAATTGAAGGCATTTGTTCCTTTCTTAATGGCGCATAAATTAATAGTGATAATTGTCTAATCGATAGCATCTCAGATTTGAGGAAATGCAGTATGTGCTGGGAACCAGGCTAGGTTTGAACCAAAACTTGCTTTTGCTCTAAGCAACAACCACGTAACTACAGATTGTCACTCCTAACTTACACGTGGGAAATCTGATGCCCAGGGTGTGAAAGAAAATTTGCCAAGAGGGCTTTAGTACGTGGGAGGAAGAGTGAGGGCGGGGTTCTGGCTACTATTGCTGAGGATGAACTACTGCAAAACTTAGCATCATAAAACAACAATCGGTTTATGTTGCTCATGAGTTTTTGGTCAGGAATTTGGGAAGGGCTGGGCTGGGCAGTTCTCACTTGGGGTTTCTCATGCCCTTGGAGTCAGATGTCAGCTGGGCTGTGGTCATTTGAAAGTGCAAATGGTCTGAACATCCAAAATGGTGGTTTGCAAGGCTGTCGGCCAGCGCTGGGTGCTGCCTGGGAGCTTAGCTGAAACCACAGACCAGAGCACCTACACGTGGCTTCTTCAGCAAGGTAGTCGCAGTGCTTCCCTCAGAAAGAGTACCCCAAGGCAATCTGGAGGGAGCTGCAGGACGTTTTGTGACTCTACGGCTTGCAGCCATCACCAAGACTCAAGGAAAGGACATCAATCCCATCTTTCAATGGGAAGAATGTCAAGGAATAGGATCACTTCGTTTTTAAACCCTCACAGATGAGAACCGTCATCTGCCTGGTGCAAAGACACCAGATGTGAGATGGCTTGTCTGGTGTCCAGAAGCACAGGGAGGGAGAACAAGAACTAAGTGTGATGAAGAGGATTTTTAGAAAAAGGCAGGTGGGATCATCTGGTCACCTGCACGTTCACTTTTGAAGTCTTCGCTTTGGGATGTTACACATGGATCCGGTGTTGCTCCCACTGTTTAGAACCTATCAGTAGCTTTCTGAGATGTAGATTCAGGGCCAACTTAGCAGGTTCACGAGAGACCTCAGGCTTAGGACTTGGTCAGACAAACCTTGTTTCTACCCAGAGAGAGGCTTTATCTAGTTTAATATTTACTGAACATGAGTTGCAGAAAATTCTGGGGTCTGTGGATATCTGAATGAACAAAACAATGCCATTCTCCTCACAGGGCTTATATTCTGATGGGAGACACATAAAGTCACCAAATCTGTAATAATATCAGCAAGGCATAAGAACTATGGATAATGACAGAAAGTGAGGGCTGGGGGCAGCTGTGTTGGGGGATGGTGGTCAGAGTTGACATCAGAACAGAGATCTGAATGCAGTGAGGAAATGAGTCAGGTATGCAGGGGAAAGAGTGTTCCAGAAAAGGAGAACATTCCGTGCTAAGGCCCTGAGGCCAGCCTGCGCTCAGGTAGGTTTAGTCTATAGCAAGAAGGCCAGTGTGGAAAGTAGGGTAAACAAGAAGAGAAACAAGGAAGGGAGGGCCTAGGGTCCACTCAGGGAGGGCCTTACAGGGCACAAGAGGAACTTTGGATTTTATTCTAGGTGAGGTGGAACTCCCTTAAAGGGTTTTGAGCAAGTGGATCCCAGGATTTGGTTTATATTTTGAAAAGATCTCCCTGGCTGTTGAGAGAAAAGGGAGGGCAGGGTAGAAGCCAGGCCCGTTAGGAGGCGCGCTCCCTCAGTGGCCCAGGCAGAAGGTGGAGGTGGCTTGGTCTGGACTCTCATTGGTGGAGGGGGTGAGAAGGGGTGAAACGGACATACATTTTGAAGGAAGATGCCACAGGATGTGCTAATGGACACATCTTACCAGCTGATCTTTTAATCTCACAACTGATATGTATCCAAAAAACGTTTAGCCCTTGCCCAAATTCAAATCTGATCTCTACAGAAGGTGACAACGTGGGTAGTGGCGAGTGAGAGACCCAGGTCAAGCAGCTCCCTCACACACACTGGCCAAGGGTCTCGTCCTCATGGCAGAGAAGGGCCTGGAAAGCAGGCATTGCCCACCCCCCCACCGCCCCCTCCCCGAAAGATTTCAGATTCAAGAGAGTAAGCCACTGTCTGGAAAGACCCTTTCAAAAAGGAGTTTGAGAAAGTCTAGAAACTTCTAAAAGGGCTGTTGGGGAGATGAACACCTATTTGCATGGGCAAGTTTGGGTATTTTGGTCATTCACTCCATGACACGACTTGGTAGCCACAGCCCCTCCTCCTGCACAGGTTGGTTCTCTAAGGGGCCTTTTCCGTCAAAAAGAAACCACTGCTGCGACTGTTTTGAGACAGACTTTAGGGGGAGTTTCATGCTCTAGGAGTCTCAGTGGTTAAAGGGTCAAGATGCTCTTTAAATACCACAAGTGGCCAAATGATTAGATCAAGGTGCAAACCCACGCCTATAATAGTGGCTACTTTTCTTTTACTTTTTTTTCTTTTTGACCAACAGGTATATAGCTACTTACTACGTGTCAGGTAGTGTTCTCATCACGTATGAAACATTAAGTCATTTAATGCTCATTATAATAATAGTAAGAACTGCTAGTATCCTTCATTCGATACTCAATGCTCATTTAATGAGCATTTTGCAGATGAGGACATGAGTCACAGAGGAGCTAGGTGACTTGCCCAGATCACTATAGCTAGTAAGGGGGCAGAGCCAAGATTAGAACCTGGGACTTCTGGCTCTGGAATTTGGGCTCTTAAGCACCATACTAAGCTGCCCAACACTGACTGATTTGGTGGAAATCTGTATATATACTCAAAATGTTTTCAGCTGCAAATAAAAGACAACTTGGAGTGGCATAAAGAAGTAGGCCTTGTTTCAACTACAGGAAGTCTGGAGGTAGTCTTCTGTCCTGGGCTGGGGGGACAGCCTGCAGTGTTATCAAAGATCCAGGCTTTTCCTATCTTTTCTGCTTCAGCATTTCAGTCTGTTGACTTGTTACCTCATGCCTGCAAGATGGCTGCTACACCTCCAGGTATCTTACCCTAGATCCCCGCAGGAAAAAAAAAAAAAGATAAGAATGAGCTTCCCCTATGGGGTACTTTGTCTCCTTATTTGAAGAGGACCGCTCCCTAACAAAACTAGATAACATGCATGCCTGCCATCTCCATACCTGGTTTAAACCAATCTTGATTCATCTCATTAGGCTGGATTGGAACCTGTCTTCCCTGAGGCCCCAGGGATAGATACCACCTGAACCTATCATGGTTCTATGCAGTGGAGAGACAATGGCCATTGAGGAGACAACAGACAGCATTTGTCACCGTAGGTATTACTATCCCCATTTTACATGGGCACTTTGCAGCTAGAAGTCACAAAGTCGAGATTGCATGGCTGGTAAAATGGTAGTCCCAGAATATTAACCCAGGTCCGCCTGACTCTAAGTCACATGCTCTTAACTATGGCATAGTACATTGTTGAGTGAGTCAGGAATGGATGGGCACACATTTGGCTTTATTACTAATAGCTGTGGAGGCGTGAGGAACTTACCCAGTCTCCCTAAGCCTCAAACTTCTTCTCTCTAAATTGTGGCTAGCAATGATACCTAACCAGAAGGTGGCTGCAAGAGTAAATGAAATAATATATGTAAAGAGCCTCACAATACTAAGCAATCAATAACTCTTGGCTTTTTTTTTTTTAAGATTTTATTTATTTATTTGAGAGAGAGAGAATGAGAGAGAGCACATGAGAGGGGGAGGGTCAGAGGGAGAAGCAGACTCCCTGCCGAGCAGGGAGCCCGATGCGGGACTCGATCCCGGGACTCCAGGATCATGACCTGGGCCGAAGGCAGTCGCTTAACCAACTGAGCCACCCAGGCGCCCAATAATTCTTGGCTTTATTATTATTGTCACTTATTACTACTGTTGCTATTTTAATGCCATGAGACTTTGTAGCCACAATGCACTTGTACCCAAATGAAATACTCCTTTGAGCATCTCTGGGTGACATGGTGGTGGTACAGACTAGTGGGTGGGCTTGAACGTGAGGAGAAAGTGTTCATTATAACACTAAGTATGGTTTCAAGAGTCCAGAAGCTTGCCTTGCTTGAATTTAGTGATCCACGGCCTGACCACCCAAAATATGGGTCCATCCACCATCTATAAAGCACAACAGTTAGCTTTTAGCCTTGGTTCTGCCATTAGGAAAATGCTGTTTGGCAGAAGCAACTTGCTTTTCCTTTCTGCATCTCCACGTTCTTATCTGTACAGTGAAGTGGTTTTTCCTTTATCACTCGTCAATGTGTAATGAGCACTAACTGAGCACCTATTGCACCCACTGTGTCATGGAAATGCAGTGACAAGGAGACAGATGTTGCTATCAGGAAGTGTAGATGCTCAGAGATCTTCAAAGTTCCTTTTCCGCAATAAAATTTGATGCTAACCAGAAGGTGAAGCTAATAACTTTCAACCCAGGGGTTATTTTGAGGATTAATGTGTTGGTGGTAATATAACTATAAGCACTGAATAAATGTAAAAACACATAAAGCTTTGGCAGTTTCTTACAATGCAGAAATAGTCTTACCACGTGATGCATCAATCACAGGCTCCTGGTGTCTACCCAAATGAGTTGAAATCTTAAGTCCACTTGAAAACTTGCACACAATTTACACTGGCTTTATTTCTAATTGCTAAAATTTGGAAGCAACCAAGAAGCCCTTCAGTAGGTGAATAGATAAGCAAACTGGGGTACATTCAGGCAATGGAAATGATTCAGCACTAAAAAGAAATGAATTATCAAGCCATACAAAGACATGGAGGGGCCTTACATGCATATTACTAAGTGAAAGAAAACAAATAGAGAAGACGACATGCTGTGCGATTCTAACCATATGACATTCTGGAAAAGACAAAACTCTAGTGACAGTAAGAGATCAGTGAGGTTTCCAGAGGTTTGGGAGGAATTAGGGACAGATGAATTGGTGGAACACAGAGTATTTTTAGGACGGTGCAACGATGCTATGTGATAATGTAATGGTGGGTAAAGGACATTTTCCACATGTGAAAAATCCACAGAATGATACACTAGAAAGAGTGGACCCTGAATATAAAGTGTGGGCTTTAGTTAATCATAATGTATTGTTTCATTACTTAGAACAAATGCATCACACAAATGCCAGATGTTAACAATATGGGAAATGGTGGGGAAGGGGGTTGGTATATAGGGAGCTCTCTACTTTGTTCTCAATTTTTTTATAAACCTAAAATTTCTCTAAACAATAAAGTCTATCAATTTAAATATATCTATCTATATTGTTAGGCAGATATATATATAGTTTAATAAATTTCATGTATTTTGATCCAAGGATTCCACTTTTGAGATTCTCTTGAGATACAGGACATACTATAAGGACAAGTTCATTTACAGAAGGGGAAAGAGTAAGCAACCTGGATTTGCTCACTAAAACACATGGATACAAGCAAATTAAGCAATGGTGGTTGAAAGTGTTCTGAACATGGACAATGCTTCCAGAAAAATGCCCACGGGGAAACTATGAAGAACTTCCTAAGATAACTATGTAAAACAACACGAATGGCTTATAGTGTCTTGATAATGAAATTATTATGGATAGCTTTTTTTATTCTTTTTCTAATTTCTTATAATATTTTAAATATATAATTATAATATACAGTTTTGAAGGTCTAGGAACCTTCTAGGTAGGGAAGAAAACCCTCTAGACAAGAAGGGTAGCAAAGCCAGACAGCTAATAATAAAAGCATCAGCTTCAGTTCCACCACAGTTGCTCATCAGCTTAGGCAGGGAAGTTAGTGTTCTTCCTACTCTGATAAATTGTAAATCATTTGGGTAACTCACTGAAAACTACAGGGCTACACAGCTTCTGTTGCATACGTTCAACCAAAGCAACTGGCATCTGAAGCTCTGGCTTAGTGGAAAAGATACTATTGAGAACACAGTACAGTCACCCTAGGGATGCGGAGCATACAAAGATGTATGGAAAATAGAAATACAGAGACCAAGAGAGAAGGTTAAGAATCTTATTCACTCACTCACCTACCCAGCAAGGCTATATTTACTAACTGTTTACTAGAGGCCAGGCACTGGGGATGCACGTATAAATAAAGCAAAACCTCTGACCTTGATTTAAGAACTTAGTCTAGTCCAGTCTGCCCAGAACCCCATGTTTCCACACTGCGGTACTTTTAATGGTGGAAAAGCACACTAACTGTATAGACAGGCATAAACTGGAGCTCTGTGGTCACCCTAAGTCCTCCCAACACAGTGCATCTCCCCAAAGGCAGGAACCATCCCTACAAACTACAAGATGGTAACTATCCCTTTCCCCCACTCCCCCTGCACCCCATGCTTCTTCACTTATGCTGACTTTTAGGGTCAGGAAATTTATTTCTGATTCTACCTCCCACCCCACCCCCACAACATCAAGCATTTCAGATCAAGTATCTGTGAATCATCGGTCAGGTTGACTCATTCTTCAAGGTTCTAGGCTGTGAATTAAAACTATATCGATCACTTGGAGGAGGGTCAAATATAGGGAGAGACAGTGTGACTTGCTCTGCATTTATCTGTAACAATGCAAAGCAGGTTTGTAAGTATTTTATTGAAATGGGGGGTAGGAGTGGGACGGGGAAGACACCTGCTGAAAAATTTCACTGTGAGAGAGTGAGGGTTGGTAAAGGAATAGGACCCATCAGTCCCTTTTCCCACTAAGTGAAGATATGTATCATACTGATAGTGTTCACCCAGATGCCTTTTTGTTTCATTTTGCTTCACGTGAACACTATTTATGGTAGGCTTTTGGAAACTGTTACAGATTCAGAGCCTATAAAATTGTTGTCCAGGGAAAGGGGAAGGAAGGTAGCTTGGGTTGAGCACCTGCTGCAGGGTCTCATTTCCTCTCTTCAAGATAGAGCAGGGCAGGAAGCCGAGGTCGGGAAGAGGTGACGTTCTGGCCCCAGGAGCTCCCCAGACTGACTTCAGCCCGTACAGACCTGCTCAACCAGGGGACACGGACCCCAAGGGATGTTCAGAAACAGAAGCTCACAGGAGGGTGAAAAAGTGTGGGGAGCAGGGAAACCGAATCCCAGAGACGCTGCGGGGTGCAGCACCCACACAGTTTTCACACCCACGGACCACGACCTTTCACCTGCACGATCACACTATCTCCAGAGCAATGTGTAATGCCAAGGCCAGGGGCCAGAATTCTCGCCCCACGTGGGAAAACCTGACTGGGACCCCGAGGGAAACCCGGCCTGTGGGTGAATCACCCTGTGACCCGTGTGGTCCTGCGTCTCAAAGCAGGGGATACACATCAACACCAGCTTCGGGGCTCAGGGGGGAAAGTCTACTTATGACTCATGGCTCTGGGCCTCCCTGGGAACCCACTGAAGGTCTTCACCAGGGGCTATGGCAACTGCACACTTCTCATGTGAGAAAAGGTGATTTCAGGGGTTTTGGTGGCCTTTTAGGGTGTCCCATCAATTCACAAGATGAACTATCTGCAGGTGACAAGGCTCAGAAATGCCAGATGAAACACAAGTCAGTGTGGTTTTTACCTTTTTTTTTTTTTTTTTAAGCAGACTTCTGGCTAATTTGAAATCGTAGTATTACTAGATGGAAATCCAGAGGTTAGTGACTTGTCTAAGATCACACAGCTGGAACTAGATAAGCCTGGAAGCAGAACTCGGGGGTCCATGACCTCTTTCCCCAACACCACATGGCCTTGCTTAGAACAAAAAGGTCGCACAGAGCAAAGGGAAAAAATACATACATTTTAATTGGATAATAAAGTAATCAGAAAGAAGAGTAAGATCCAAAGGCGGTACATTCTGGACTTTGTGACTTCTACTCAGCTAAAAGCTCTAGGCTCCATCTCTAATTAAAAATTTAAAAATATATTTCGGGGCGCCTGGGTGGCTCAGTTGGTTAAGTGTTTGCCTTCAGCTCAGGTCATGATCCCAGAGTCCTGGGATCGAGCCCTGAGTCGGGCTCCTTGCTCAGTGGGGAGTCTGCTTCTCCCTCTGCCCACCCCCTCCTGTGCTCTCGCTCTTGCTCATGCTCTCTCAAATAAATAAAAAATCTTTAAAAAAATTTTTTTAAAATATATTTTAATTAAAATATAACAAAATATATTTAATTAATTAAAATTAAATTTAAAATGTGTTCTAAAATTGCCCCTCTCCCATCTAGACGCATAGTGGAGAAGCAGCTTATACATTCTGTATATGAATCCTGGGGCATTGTGTAAACCCTATTATTCAGAGTCTAATAGCTGGAAAAGGCTCACTGAGTCCATTGTGCAGATGAGAAAATGAAGGTCCATGGAGAGGAAATGAACTGCCCAGGGAAATTCAGCTGGCTATGAGCAGAGCCAACACTGTATCTAACGTCACTCTCTACGCGGACCTGTGGAATTGCCCGTGCACAGCGCACCTCCCCGGCTTCTGCAGACAAGGGAATTCAGGTCCCTTTGGCAATCCTTAGCATTTCACGGGATCCTGTGCGGCATAATCTCCAAGGCAGCTGGCTGATTTTCATGAAATGTGTTGTAGCTACCAAAGGTAGCAGTGGACATGATTAGTTTCTTAACATGTACAGGAGAAGGGATCTTGAACTACGATGAGCGTGAGAACAGATAAAGAATTTATGTATTCGATTGAATAAAAGGCGTATCCACACAATGTAATAAAACTTAGGTGGCAGTTACAAAGAATAAGGCAGCTAATATGGACAGCACTCCTGGATATATTGCTGAGGGGTAAAAGGCAAGTGGTCAGTTTATCAAAGGTCTAAAAACACAGCACCATGTGCTTGCGCACACACACACGTGTGTGTGTGTGTGCATATACATTAGAAAGGTCCACAAGGATGTGTTCCAAAGTAATAACCCAAGCAGAGCTGATGAACAAACAGGGACAGGGACCCAGTGATTAAAAAGAACTTTAGCTTTATTTGGAAAGGTTTTTTTTCCCCAAGATGAAAACATTCATTTACTATTTGTGTAATTTTTTTTTTTTAAGGGGGAAATGGGATTTTATTCATTCATCTATGTATCCATTCTACTATATGAGCCCTTACTGATACTGGGTGAGAGGTTTGTCTGCTTGGTTCATGTAATGAGGTAGGTTACGTGTGTTCTGGGGAAGGAAGGAAACAGCACAGAGTGGGAAAATAAAGGGATTTCTGTGTTTCATGGGAGATCCAGAGGCCAAAACAGTCCCTAGTAAAATTCTGTCAAGGCCTGCCATCTTGAATAAAAGGGCAATGACAATCATTTGCAAATGGACAAAACTTTGATAATTTTATTTATATATATGTATATATTTTTAAGATTTTATTTACTTTTATTTTAGAGAGAGAGAGAGAGAGAGAGCATGTGAACAGGGGGAGCAGGAGAGGGAGAATCCCAAGCAGACTCAGCACTGAGTTTGCAGCCTCATGTGCAGCTCAATCCCATGACGCTGAGATCATGACCTGAGCCGAAACCAAGAGTTGGATGCTCGACTGAGCCACCCAGGCACCCCAAAACTTTGGTAATTTTAAAGTAATTTCAATTGTCTTTGACTTTAGAGTTCACAGAGGAATATATGATGATACAAAGGATAGTCTATGGTCCCCAAGAATTTAATCCACAAAGAGGGAGATGGTTTTGGTGCTTTTCAAAGGCACCGATTCTTTGGCTGTGTTTACTGGTACATATGGCTTACTCTGCTAGGCTAGAGATGGCCTCTGCCAAAAGAGCTGTTTTGATTTGGATTTCCAAAAATAACTCATGAGAAGCCTATAGTATGAGGAAGATGGTTGCACACAACTCTGGGGAGGAAAAGAAAAAGCCTTTGATTTGAATCACCTAAGAGCGGAAATTGAGCGCAAATATCTCCTTGTAGCAACTGCTATATAATTATCCATCCTAATGGAATCCTTTCAAAACCAAAGCAGTTCAACAAGGAAGTTTAATTGAAAATAAAATCTCCAGACCAACTATTCTGTCAAAACCACATTAAACGAAGATAGCTCGGCAGTGACCAAATCACTGTAATGGGCACGGGGCGGGAGGGGGTGGGTGTTCTCCTATGTGGGGGAAACATGGTGATCTTCTAGGCTCCTTTTTCCAGGTTCATGGGTCTTCTAGTCACTGGGCACAAGGATTCAATCCTCTCTGGGTCAGTGTTACCTCTGTCAAGTGTTTTCTGGTCTCCTGAAAATAAGAAGCCAGGGTTAAAATCTCAGAGATAAAGACAGGGAGAGAAGAGAAAAGGACACTCACCATCCAACCTGTTCATTAGTGCAAAGATGCACCCCATTCCAGACATAGGCTCATGGAGGACAGCAGTGATGGAAAATGACCACCACTTGGGACGTTCCTCTGTGTCCCCTGCTGAGATACTTAACATCTCTGAGCAGTTCTCTCACCTAAAAAAATACACACACACACACACACAAATACCTGCACCCTCTGGATAGTCAGGAAGATGAAAGGTGATAATGTCCACTAACAGCGAACCAGTGACAAAGCTGGAATCTATAAGATGTAGTGCTCTAGACAGTATGCGGTACTGCACGGTGTGAACAGGGCTGGAAGGAAGACATGGTGCTTCCTTGCTACTCCAAATGGGTCAGTGTGTGGGCCAGCAGCATTGGCAGCACCTGGGAACCCACCATCACTGCAGAGATTAACTCAACGAGATGCTGCATCTAACAAGGGTTCCCTGGAGATCGGCGTGTGGCTCAAATTTGAGGAACGATGGCTTTGGACATCTTTCAGGTGCGTGGTTCTGCACCAGGTGACCAAGTCAACAGAACGTGATCTAAAAGCTGCCCTTGGGGGACAAGCAGGGTCCCCAGAGGGCCACCTGTGGTGGGCATGTTTCTGGAGACCTTCCCAAATTGTCATCCAGTCTTCCTGCTTCCTGCCTGCAGAGAAGGAAATCAAGGCAGAGCCCAGGACCTCCTGAAGCCGAGGGATTCTCCACCAACGGGGCGGGACCACCCTGGGATCCAGAGTCATGTCATCACGGATGTCCCCATGTCATCACGTGTGCTCAGGAACAGGCCCCGAGTACAGAGAGGACAATGGCAGCAGCTAGTTAAGTGACAAGTGGGAATGGTGGCCTGGAGACTCAGGAGAAATGGGACAGACAACAGACCACCTTCTTTTCCCTGACTGTGGCCTAAATCACACTGGTACAGTCATTCTGGAAAACAATCTGGCAATCTGTGCTCTAAGACACAACAACCTCATACAGTAGAGAAAGAAATGGTATACACACATAGGGATTTTGCCGTTTCTGCACAGACCATCTAGAATCACAGACGAGACTCTTTTGACGTTGACTGCCTCCCGGAAGGGAGACCTATGGGCTGGGGAACTGGAAATTGAGAGAGGAAGAGAAGGAAGAAGAAAAGGAGAGAAGGAAAGAGAGGGAGGGACATCGAAATTAAAAAAATAATAATAAAATAAAAGAAAGTTGAGTCTCCTGTTATATATATAGGGTTAGGTTTAAAAGTCTTCCCGGGATATTCAGGCCACGAAGCTATCTCTTCTGCTTAAAGCCACACTGCTGAGCCTACAATCCTTTGTTCAGACCTAGCGCTTGGTCCCTCACACCCAGCACACCTACAGCTGAAAATGCTCGCGCAGAAAAATCTGGCAAGGGCACGTCCTGGGTGGCAAAGAGCTACCTTGCTTATTTGCTCCCCCAAACCGAATGACCCTAGAGCTACCCCACCCTACCCAAATCCCAGTGGCTCCTGACTCCAGTTATTTTGGCTTAGACAAGGACAAATCTCTTCTAGAGGATTCTAAAGCCCTGGTTTCCAGAGACTTCCCATGACTAAATGGAGTTGGGGGGACACAATGCTTACACTTTGTGTGAATGTGTGTACGTGAGAATGGAGATAAGAGACAAAATAGGAGGTGACAGGTCGAATCCTAATTCTGGAAGATGCAGCATTGATTATGCTCAGTTTACCAAGCACTCTCTAAATCCTTACTGGGAGGAAATAGAATAGAAACCCTATTTAAAGATGGGGAGACTGAGGCCCAGTGAGGTTTTGTGGTAGAACCGGGAACTGAATGTTACACCCTTGCTGTCCCAGGGCACAGGCCTCTCTCGTGTCTCCGCGTCCCGGTCTCCCCAGCCACCTTCCAGCAATGACCTGCCCATCTACCTGCTGCTGTAAGCATTACACTCTATCTTTAAGGCTGGTGATTAGACACTGTTTCTTTTCTTCCTTTTTTTTTTTTTTTTTTGAGACTGTTTCTTTACAAAAAGCAACCCTGGGTCTTCAGGTGAAAATTTATTCTACTGATAAGGAGAGTAACGGCAATGTTCCGTTGAGCCACGGAGCTACTACCGATGATGTATAGTTGGACGGATAAAAGGCCAGCTTTCAAGTCAGAAACTCCCGGGTCAAACTGCATCCTTTAAAAAAAAAAAAAAATTGTATCCTTGCTACTCATCACTGTCTGACATTTGGTAAGCTGATCTCTCTGACGCTCTGGTTTCTTCATTTTTAGAAATGGCAGCTAATGTTTATCAAATGTGAACTCTATGTGTCCACTGTGCCAGTGTTATTCTAAGTAAGCACTTTGTATTTCCTAACTCATCCAGTACTTGCAACATACAATTACTATTCTCCATGTACAAATGAGAAAGCTGAGGCACAGAGAGGCGAAGTAACTTGCTCAAGGCCACACTGGCCTTCTACAGGTGGTCTGGCTGGAGCCTGGGCTTTCACCGTAACAGAAATGCTCTCACAGGGCTGTCAGGGGGGCTATGTGAGATCATCTGACCCAGAATAAGTACTCAATAAATTATAACTATTAGGTATCACTTAGACATTAATTTCTTTGGCTAGGCAGAAACACAGGGGGTAGTAACTGAATACGCACGTGGCTGAGGAGAAGCTGCTGCCTGAGGTGGCACTATTCCCTGACAGGTGTCCCTCCCCACCTGCCTTCAGCTGGCCTTTGGCCTCGGAAGCCCAGCACAGGCAGGAGCTTTGGTGTCCTGCCCCAGAGTCTCCATACTGAGCTCTTCCACGGGGAGCCCACCCAGAAACCTAAGTTGGGGCAGCCAGCGTGGGAACAGGTCTGACGTCCACCTGGCAAGAAGAATGGCAGATTCCAAAATGAGTTGGACGGATTGAATCCCCAAGGCAGTGGCCATGTGCTGGTTTGACTCATTGCTTTAGAAAGTCTCTGCAATAGGCTAATTGCACAGAGTTGGGGGAACGACTCCTTGTACAGAAGACGCAACATGACTCAAAAAACTGGCACAATTAAAGATCTGGGGTGGAACAAGAGTCCACCGGTGGCCGAACTGCTTTCTTCCTCCTGATTCAGCTGCTCCCAGTTCTGTGCAGGTACTTGGAAGAGGCACATGGCGGCCGTGGCCATCCTGGTGTCTCTGTCAAAGACTGGCCTAGGGAGGACTCCGGACCCCATCAGGCCAGTGAGACAGAAGGGGAAGTCTACTGGGGATTTCTGGGGAAATTTTGTTCCCGAAGACCAGATACGAGAGTTGCAGTAAGCAGGAACCCCTTTTCCTTTGGGACGCTCTTCCTGCGTGAAATGCTGTTGTGATAAGGTGAAGTTTGCAGCACAAAAGAGCATCATGCAGATGCTAATCCGATGAGCTGATAGCTCGGCTATCAAATGCAAGCTTTCTGAGACATCTGATAATAGCAGGTGCTGGGGAGGATATGGGGAAACAGAAACCCCTGCACAGTGCCCCGGTGGATGTGTAAACTGGTACAGTCATTCTGGAAAACAATCTGGCAGTACTTGTGAAATTAAATATGAGCATACCCAATGACTCATCCATCCATCCCCGCCCAGAGTCCGTACCGGAGAAACTCTCCCACAGTCCCTACGGGCACAGGTGTGAGGTGTCATCACAGACCTTGACTGGGCTTCCCTATTGTCCATCTCCAGGGGCAAGAGGAGTAAACAGGGCAGGACCGACGGCAAGGGAAGGCCAGGTGCAGCCCTCGGATGAGCTACGTGTACAGAACGAGGAGGAGATCCCTAACAGAATCCCATTTGTCTAAATTAAAAGATACCCAATCACGGCCCTACAGCGGGTCCACCTGTGTGGCACATAGCACACGCACCAGAGTGGACGCCGATGAGGAGTGTAAGGGAAGGGAACAGGCAGAACCCAACAAGAAGAAAGGCAGGGGTCTTGCAGGGGCCAGAGATAACATGCCTTGAACAGAGGAGGCTTTCATAACAATTCAAGCAACCAGACTGGGAGTCAGAAAACCCAGCTATACATGTTCCCACGATTGATTGTTACTGGCTGTGGGCCCTCTGGCAGGTCACTTACAGCCTCAGTTTCCCCACTGCAAAAGCAGATACAAAAAGAGGCCCTACAGAGGAGAGGTATGCAGAGCCTGAGTTTGGAATGCAGCAGCTGGATGGCAACCGAGGACTCAGCTTTCTTGTCTGTAAAATGGGGACTATGACATTACCCAGTTGGTTCCTTTAGGAAGAGGTTTCAGTGAGACATGGGCAGGACAAAAAGCATGATGATGAACTACACCGTTTGGCACACTTGGGAGGAAGGAACATATCCTCCAGGGAGCTCAGGCTCATACCAGGCACTGTGCTGAGCGCTCGGCAGCCCACCTCACCCTCACTGGGTGCGGCACCCGGGGCCTTCAGACCTGGAAACAGCGCCCGCCCCTCCCTGCAGGGAGCCCCTGCTGTCCTGGGCACAAGCCTGAGAGAGGGGACATTTCAGGCTGTCTTTATGTGCCCACTCCTGGACACCTGGGGCCCTACAAATCCACAGAGATATTTCTTTGTCTTTTCTGTTGTGGCAGTGAATCCGTTTTTAACTAGATAAGCTAGGTTACCAAAAAGAGAAGAGACAAGAGGAAGAAACTATCCTAAGTTGCCTATTATGCCACCAAGTAGGCAAATCTTCATTTTTCCAACAAACAGCTGCTCTCTTTCTATAACTTCCCATAATCCAGGAAGGACACATTGCTGTGTGTGACTGCCACACACGGATGGTCACCGCTCTCCTTAAAGTGAATACCTCCTCCCCAGCCCTCAGGTGCCTGGGAAAGATTCAGTGGTGCCCGAGTACCATGTATCCCTGGGTGCCACTTGGTTTCCAGTTTTGCTCCTAAATGTGCCCGGCTTCAAACACCGCCTGCTTGGGGCGCCTGGGTGGCCCAGTCGTTAAGCATCGGCCTTCAGCTCAGGTCATGGTCCCAGGGTCCTGGGACCGAGCCCCGCATCGGGCTCTCTGCTCGGCGGGAAGCCTGCTTCTCCCTCTCCCCTCCCCCTGCTTGTGTTCCCTCTCTCCTCCTTCTCTCTCTGCCAAATAAATAAAATAAAAGCTTTAAAAAAAACTAAGAATACTCCCATATTTGATGAAAAAAAATTATTGGGGGGCGCCTGGGTGGCTCAGTCGTTAAGCATCGGCCTTCAGCTCAGGTCATGATCCCAGGGTCCTGGGATCGAGCCCCGCATCGGGCTCCCTGCTCGGCGGGAAGCCTGCTTCTCCCTCTCCCACTCCCCCTGCTTGTGTTCCCTCTCTCGCTGTGTCTCTCTCTGTCAAATAAATAAATAAAATCTTAAAAAAAATTAATAAAATAAAATAAAATACTGCAGTCCTTCGGCTCAGGTCATGATCCCAGGGTCCTGGGATCGAGCCCCGCATCGGGCTCCCTGCTCGGCGGGAAGCCTGCTTCTCCCTCTCCCACTCCCCCTGCTTGCGTTCCCTCTCTCGCTGTGTCTCTCTCTGTCAAATAAATAAATAAAATCTTAAAAAAAAAACAAAAAAACCGCCTGCCTGCAAACCAGCGCCTTCCCTCCTGGAGCGTGTGTTTGAAATACATTCCCTAAATAGGGATACAAGGTCAACAGGATGCTTTGATAACTCCTGACAAGTAGTTTTTTTTTTTTTCCAAAAGACCCACTTATGCTGCCCCCTGTGATGGAGGCACGTGCCAGGCTGCCTACAAAGTCTTAGGATGAATGCCCCCACCCGTCATTCTAACATCTGGTAATGTGCAGGGAGCGGGAGGCCACAGTCACACTTGGAGCCTTAGGGAGGGTGGACTTTTCCCCCGAGGTCACCGATGCTCTACCTTCTTCCCCTGAGATCTGTCTGTCCACGAGCGCTCACAACTTGTTACAGAGGGGTTCTGCATACACAGTGATCTCGTTCACACAGGCCAGCCTGAGGAGTGGAGGGGGCGAATGGGACGGTGTTGGGGAGGGGTCAGCCTCGGGCCTCCAGAAGAGAAGACGAAATGGGAATAACCAATGGGAATGCTTGCATGAAAAACTGCAGTTAAAAAATCCTACGTGCATCAAGAAGGTGTCTCCACGGTATGTAGGCACGCACCGCAGAACAGAGAGCTGGAAACAAGGAATAAGAGTTGCAGTTGGTGGACTATGGCTCTGGATTTGGGCATTTTTGAGTTTTGTTTGTTTGTTTTTAACCCTCTCTGGTGCTCCTGCTCACCCCTGGGAAAGTCTCCAGCCCTCAGGGCTTTCTGCGGGCTGGGGCCTCCACAGAGCACGCCTCTGCCCCCCGGAGCTCATTCCCAGCGCGCTTGCTTCCTTCCAGATCCGCTGAAAGCTCACATCACCTGGTAAGCATAGCTTCCAAAGCAGGCTCGCTGCCTGGCTCATCCCGCCCAGACATCCTGAGCTTCTTGGACTCCAGAGTGGATTACAGCAGGGCCTGGAGCTGGACTGCTCTGACAGCGCTCTTTGGATTCGAATGCAATGCTTTGGGGACCAGACGTGCACCTGGCCCGCGCTAGCTGTGGACGGCGAGTCTGGCCTGGGAGGGGGGGCGGTGTGTGGACTGGCCCATGGAAGGGAGGGAGCCGTCCTCAATGACTCCACTCTGGTTTTCCCCCTTCCACTCCTAAGCCCCATGCCGGCGAGCCAGCCAGTGTTTGGACCCCTTATTTCTCAAATGCCTGTTACCGCCTAGATGCCGGGGTGAGGGATTGCAACACCAAGGCCATTCCTCAACCGTAGAGACGAGTTAGGGAGTCAAGACGCCAACACAAGGAATGTTAGATACCAGGGAGGAATGAAGGCAAAGATAACAAAGCCAGACAATCAAAGATTGATCGCGTGTGGGCACTGGGTGGTCTGGGGTCAGGGGGCAGGTCCCTGCGGGCTGCGAAGGAAAAGATCAGGATGACCGCAGCATGGGGGGGTGAGGGGGGCAGGAGGAGGAGGAGGCCTATGATCCAGGCCAGGAGCGGGGAAGGGGTGGCACACTCAGGGGCCAGGGAGGAGCTCCTTGTGCCTAGAACAGAAAGAAGACATCTGGAAATCCTGGGAGGGTGAGTTAGGGCCCGAATGTTGAGGTCCCCGAGAGCCAGGGAGAGGAGTCTGTGCTGGAAAGAGAGCGTAGAGCTGCATACAGCAGTGCAGCCAATGGGAGAAGCTTGTGAGGAGATCGGTGTGGGGGCAGCTCTCAGGACGGCCTGCAGGAAGAACCTGGTTAGCAGGGAGGCGTGCAGCATCAGGGCGTCCATGTCCCGCCTGCCAGCATGGCAGGCCCTCCCGGTCAATCCAGGCTGTGATTCCAGTCTTCGCCTTGCAGGCTGTATCGATCAGGAGAACAATGCTCTGAGACACTACACATAGCCTCAAAGTTCAGTGGCTTAAAACAGCAAAAGTTAATTGCTCATCAGGCTGTGTCTAACATGGGTCAAGCAGAGAATGCATGGAGGCCTAGATCCAAGCAAACCAGGCCTGTGCAGGGCACTGGGGCGGAAGAGAGGGGGACCTCTGGAGGGACTCTCACCAGCATCTCCACGGGACGGCCAGAAAATGCACATCACCTCTGCTCACTCCTCGTCGGCCAGAACGAGCAACCCTAATCTGCAGGAGACAGAGAGTCTGGAAGCAGGAATGGTCCACGTATGTCACTTTTCAGGGCACGTGTAATTTCTCACTCACTCATTCAACCAGCAAGAACTGAAAATACATTTACTGAGTGCCAAACATCTTAAAATATTACCATTTCTTTTGGCCCTTTTATCAATCCTGTGAGGCGGCAGGTATCCTCATGCCCATTTTACCGATCAGCAATTCGAGGCTCAAAGGGGTTGAGGTGCCCAGCCAGGAAGGGGTGGGCCTGACTCCACAGCCCATGCTCTCCCTGAGCGCCACAATGACCAGAAAGGAAGGTGGCCGTGCCGGGGCCCTGAAGGCACAGCAGTTAAGCATGAGGGTTCTAGGGGCCAACTGCCCTGGGGGTGCATTCTGGCTCCACATTCCTGAGCCATGTGATCTTGAGCAAGTTACTCACTTTCCTATGCCTCAAGTCCCTCACCCAGACACCACCAGGACACTAACAGCACCCCCAACCTCACTGTAGCGCTGCCACAACTGAGGGAGGAAATGCATGGAAAGCCCTTGCAGCGCTCCCAGCAGAGTCAGGGCCAGGAAATGCCAGCGATGATGTTAACACGGCCCATCTATGCACAAGGGCGTTGGAACTCCCACAAGCCACAGGCCCCTCAACCCACAGACCACCTACTTCTCAATACGGCACTGGCCTCCTGGATCAGGGCGGCTGCCGAGACGGTGGACACGCAGGGGGAAAGGCCACGCAGAGTCAGGGCCACCCCGCCACAGGGCCTGCCTGCACCCATCCGCTCGCCTTCCCCTTATCTTGTCTGGCTTCCTCCCCAGCGCTTGGAACTCTCTGACAGACCCTAACTGTGTATGGATCGGTCATCCTGCGTATTGCCCGTCTCCCTGACCGGAACCTCTCCTTCGGGTTTGCCTTGGTCGGAGGGTCAGGCTCACGGAAGGGCGCCCGGCAGGTAAGGAATCGGGGAGCAGAGACTTGGAAGTTCCGTGAGGGCAGGGGCTCTTATTCGTTTCTGCCTTCCCTGCAGAACGCCCAGCACCTGGCGCATGACGTGTGCTGAGAGGCCTGCCAGCTCTCCAAGCATCAGGGTCCAGCGGGGGACTCAGCCCTTCTTTCTCTGCAGGGCATTATGCTAAAGCCTGGCCTCGTCATGTGGGATGCCAGTCAGCGGTTTCCACACGGCCTCCCCTGCGTCCGGCGCCCCTGCCCCCACTAAGGGCTCCAGGCTGGGCCTCGGGGTGGCCCGAGGACACAGGTACCAAAGCCAGAGTGAAAGAGACGTGGGGAGAGACTGCGGGGGGCGAGGTCCTGCGCCCCTGAACCCTCTAACGTGGCCTCTTCTGGAACTTCCTGCATGGCCGAGGGCGAGTCCTTCTCCCTCTAGGCCTCGGTTTCTCTGACAGTCAAACCTGGGCACTGAAGAAGAACATTTCTAAGGGCCCTTCCGGATCGAAAATACAAGGAACACGACATCAGCTAGGCTTCATTGCTCAGGCTCACGGGGGTGGAGCTCCTTCAAGGCTTTTGTGGGCCCCGCAGACAGCTATCAGATATGTTTACCCCACCTGGCTCCTCCACAAAAAATAATTCCCACCTAACTGCCAAAGTGGAGCTGCATTTGAAGAGTCCATATAAAGCTGTATAAATATGTATCACAATTTCCATTTTGCAGCGCTGTCTTCATATTTTGAAACTAATACATAGTGTCTTTCTGGTCAAACGGACCTGTCTAAGATGTCCGGTGAAAATGCCATTTCCCAGGCCCCACCCCAGAGCCACTGAATTAGAAAAGCCCAGGGATGTGCATTTTACTGAGTTTCCCAGGTGGTCATTTGCAAACTGAAGTTTGAAAACCACTGCCAGAAAAAGAAGCCGAGAAAAGGGGCTGGGCAGGTATTCTGGAGCCAGAGGGGGGTTGTAGAGGTGACCAAGGAAGGGGAGGGGACGCAAATGACAGCACGTGGCTCCTGTTTTGCATGAATGCAAATCGCTCTTGCCCATGTGTGCCCTGCGTGTTCCACCACCATAAACATAAATTTGTAAAACCCTGACTCACCCTCTGCTGAACCCTTCCCCCAGCCCTGGAAAAATGATAATGACACTCCACCTGGGATTACGTTCTCTAGCCTGATCTGTAGAAGAGAAGGTTTCCAACGTGTTGGGCAGGCTGTTTGCAGACTGAGGCCACCACTGCCAGGAATCGTGCTGCAGGAAGGAACAGAAATAGCGTGGTCACCCAGAGGTTTGCTGCAGCTAGTTCTACCTTTGGTTTGTGACAAATCCTAGCCCCCGCAGCGAGCTGTCCTAATTCATCCACAGGGAAGGAGGTTCTGTTTAATGTCGCACTACACACACAGAAGTGCTGCTGATGAGCCTGCCCGCGTGCGTGCACACACACACACCCACCCACGCATGGTTTGCAGGTGTATATAAGCTTCTGCAATGATTTGAGGGCTGGAGCTCGGCAATCAAGAGTCACTTGGACCCCTCGAGGGCTAGTTTCCAAGGTACCAGGAAGGTACCATTGCTAAAAGGGGGCTGGAAGAGTAGTGAGCTGATGCGAAGGGCCAAGTACTGTGCTGGGGGTTTCCCATGTATGTTTCACACCACTCGATCAATCGGGGAGAGTATTATCAGTTCCGTCCTTCTGATGACGAAACCAAGACACAGACTTGCCCACAATCCTATTGAAACTGAACTCTGAACTGGCTGACACTGAAGTTCGTGTTCGAAACTTATGCAGTGCTGCCTTGAAGTTCAGACCCAGGAAGCATGGGGGTGGGGAGGGGAGAGTCTTCCGGAGAGGCGAGCCTATGGAAACTGACCTCTCCAACCAGGGAGAGAACCAAAATAACTCCTTAACAAACAACTGAATTCACAAGCAATAAACGGTCATTGGAAAAAATAAATCACAGATAAGCAATAGAAAAAAATCACATTATAATCACATCCTCCAAGAAATAATGGTGTTTATATGTCTAGGCTTTTATTCTATATGTGTGTATATATATATACACACATATGTATCTAGCCTACAAATAAAATGATACAATTTTTGCAACTTTATTAAAAATTTCATACTGCTGATTTTTAACGTGGGAATTAACGATGTCTGTCCAATCCTGATCTTCTGTGCGCTTATGTCCATCCATAAATTTCTCTGAAGAGTTTAAGGCGGAGATAAAACCTTTCACTTTTTTGTGTGTTTCCTGTTATTGTCTGATCATCACCCACTAGTGCATTTAAGGAAGGGTTAAAGAGTATTCTATCTAAACAGATCTGTGCTCTGGTGGATGATGCGGCTTTGAAAAACATACTCCACCCCACCCCCCAAAAATTCAGGTTGGTTTTCTCCTCTCCATAGATGAAAATGGAGAATAGGTGTTGCAACAACCGAGAAAATGATGCCCTGCCCCACCCAAAAAATATCTTAATGCCAAGGGAAATGCAGCTCTACTATTCAGAAGGGCCTGACACAGGCCCTCCCATTGCCCGTCCCCCACTGCAAGGACCAGGCCTCCAAGCACCCCCCAGGACTCCCTTCCAGTCTTCCCCTAGTTAGGTGAGTGAAAAATAACCTCCTTTCCTCCCTTTCGGTGTTAACGAGGCTCCCTATAGAGACACTGTTAATCACATCAATTAAAAGCCTCTCACACTTGGCCTTGCCTGCCAGGTACCGGCCCTCTGTCCAGGGGAAGGTGGGTGAGATAAGTCATGCCTGGAGATAACTTATATTCTTTTCTTTTTCCCCCTCCGCCTATGCTTTTTTTCATTTGTATGTTGTTTTTTATTTTTTAAGATTCAGGCTTAATTAACACAGTGAAATGTCCAGATCTTTAATGAACAGTTTGATGAGCTTTGACAAATGCATGTACCAAAAACACTAAACCACCAAGACACAAAACATTTCCCTCACCCAGAAAGTTCCCTGTGCCTTTTCCAATCGCCGCTGCCCTCCTCCAAAAGGAAACCACTGCAGTGATTTCTAGCACCATTGATTAATTTTGTGTATTCCAAAAGTTCATATAAATGGAACCTTGTGATGTGTAAAGACGGGCAAGAATGATGAGCAAGAACACGGGGTTCCCAGTGGGCATGAAAACCAGTGTAGGTGCTTTGGAAAATAGTCTGGCAGTCCCTCAAAAAGTTGCAGAGAGAGTTACCACGTGACCCACCATTCCACTCCTAGGTATATATACTCCAGGAAATGCAAACACACATCCACTCAAAATTTTGTATGGGAATCTTCTATCATTCATAATAACCCCAAACTGGAAACAACCCAATGTCCATCCACCGATGAAAGAACAAAAGAAATGCGGTCCATTCACACAATGGAACATTACTAAGGCACAGAAAGGAACGAAGTACAGAAACACACTACAAAGTGGAGGAACCTTGAAGACATCATGCTAAGTGAAAGAAGCCAGTCGCAGACGACCACATATTGTATGATTCCATTTGTGTGAAACGTCAGAACAGGCCAATCCACTGTGACAGAAATTCTAGGTTGCTCAGGACTGGAGGGGCAGGGGAAAGGGGGAGAGGGAGGTGATAGCTGATGGGGACAGGTTTGCTTTCTGAGGTGGTCAAAATGCTCTAAGATTGGTAAATTGTATGTTATGTGAATTATATCTCAGCAAAGCTTTTGAAAGAAACCAAACATTCAGGGGCGCCTGGGTGGCTCAGTTGGTTAAGCGACTGCCTTCGGCTCAGGTCATGATCCCGGAGTCCCGGGATCGAGTCCCGCATCGGGCTCCCTGCTCAGCGGGGAGTCTGCTTCTCCCTCTGCCCCTCCCCCCTCTCATGCTCTATCTCATTCTCTCTCTCAAATAAATAAATAAATAAAAATCTTTATTAAAAAAAAAAAAAAGAAAGAAACCAAACATTCAGAACCAACCCAAGTGGCACCAGTTAGGATACATGAGAAAGACAGCAGTTTTCCTCCAGCGGGATTTTGACAGAAGTGCTTGGCACTGTAGCCCAAGGACCCTGTGCCACCTGGGGAGCATCACTATGGTCCAGGAAGGTCTCCTTCCCGTGAGAATGTCCTGGCGCTTACTGCATTTCCCAGGGGTTCCTGTCCTATCTCCGGAGTCTAAATTCTGAAGAGTCCAGGAGCTATTCACCAGATTCATTCACTCATTCCACCAACACTTACTAAGTCTGTATTTAGTAGAAAGCACATAACCGTATCTAGTCTTGTCGTATTATCTCCCTGCTCTCAAGGGACTACATTTTTAGGGACATCTTGAATGTCTCTGTACGTCTGGTCGTGTGTTTAGCAGGTGACACCAGGAGACGGTGGTGGGTGGGGAAGGTATGAGCTCATTATGAGAGAAAGGTCAAGAACTGTGAGGTCCAATGGGGCTGGTTCTCAATCCTGACTACCACTCACGAAGGCATGCCTTCACCTCTTCCTGCCTCATGTCCCTCACCTGCAAAGACCAAGAACCTGCCCTATGGTGGAACCATCAGGAGCCCCAGCTCCGGGAACCAAACCCCTGCTCTACCACCTACAAGCTGTGAATGACCTCAGGCACTTTCTTAACCTCACTTGCCCATGTGTACAGTGAGGATGGAGGCAGTTAACAGCCTGCCCTGTGCAGGACTAGATGGGTTCATAAGAGGCTCGGCAAACTGAGGAGCCAGTGAATATCTGGGGGCACTGCGGGCCCATACCATCTCTGCACCAGCTCCTCATCTTCATGATCAGAGCATCAAAGCCACCACAGACAATACCTAAAAGAAAGGGCATGCTGTGTTCCAATAAAACTGTAAGCACAATGACGTCCGATTTCATACAGTTCTCATGTGTCAGAAAACACGATCCTTCTTTTGATTATTTTTGTCAGCCGTTTAGAAATGGAAAAGCCATTTGTAGCTCACGGGCTGCACAGAAAAAGATGGCGGGCCAGTTCTGGCCCCTGCGCTGCAGTTTGCCACCCCCCGACGTAAAGCACCTAGAACAGAGCCTGGCGCATGGTAAGCACGCACCACCCCCGAACCACGGCCCCAGGCAACAAGAGCTGAGCCTCTGCCACGTGTTACATCGCGTGCTGCACCCTCCATGCACCGCATCTCATTTAAACCTCACCTTGATTGTGTGAGGCAGGTAACCTGATGGCGCAGATGAGAAAGCAAAGACCTAGGTCAGCTAGAGGGACAGCGCTGTCGTAAATCCAGGTCTTTCTATCGTGAGCTCTTGCTTGTGACCGTTAAAAACTACCGTGCCCGCTGCCAGGACACAACAGGGAACCAGATCCACTCAGGCTCCATTCCAAACACCACAAATCATGATTTAATTAATTTGGGACATTTGTTACAGAAAGCAAGGGCTGCAAGGAGGAACAAGGGTATTACACAGCCGACGGCGAGGGAGGTCCTCCGGTGAAGGGACACGTAGGTTGGGAACAGCAGCCATGCACCTGGTGCTGTGCCAAGTGTCAAAGAGAAGCAGCTAGAAAAGGCACGTCCGCCCTGGCTCCCTGCTGCGGAGGCCTCGGAGACGTGACAGTGTCAGATGCAGGGGTGGAGAAACCAGTCCAAACTTCCCAAAAGGCCTGCAGCAAGCGAAATAACCTATTCTATTTTATGGGAATATATCCTCATAAAATAGCAAATACAGTTGCGAAGATTGGACCATGAGAATATCCACGGAAGCACTGTTTGTAATAGTACAGTGTTGAATTCGTAAGTGCCCCAGACACTTAAGAAAAATTGGGAGAGCCTTTGCCACTTCTGTGTGAACAATGGCAAAGCTGCGTGTCCCAGCAATCAGATGGTGAGGGAGCAGAAGTGCGCATGCCGACGTGGAAGGCTGGCTATCGTGTATTTATTAAAACAGCTCCGTGCAAACCAACAGGTGCACCACCGTACTATGATGAGGATGCATATGCACAGACAGCAGTCCTTTCAATCAGTCACCTCTGAAGGATAACAGAAGTGTTTGTAGCTTCCTCTTCTTGTGTGTTTGGACTTGGCGATGTTTCTGGAATAGATACTCAGTGCTTTGTGAAAAGAAACGAAGGACAGCCGGTGGCCGGACAGGAGTTCAATACTCCACAAAGCCGCTTGACCGGTAAAGCGCAAGATCTGAACCCCTTTCCACAAGGGTTGACAACCTGGAATTTCAATCACAATGGATGCCAAAGGATGGGGAAGAAAACATGTTTACAAGGGAAAGACTCCACAGAAAAAGGCAGTGAGGAGTGTGGCTGGCCTTCCCCCTTCTGTGCCTTCCAACTCAGCCAGCACCAGGGCAGAGCCTGACTCTCTGGAACACAGTGTTTGTAACCCCGAGGACAGTCTGTACATTTTACATTGGAAACACTCTCTCTGCAAGATTTTGTTGACATTCATTAGGGGGAAGTATTTAGGACCTATGGCCTTGAAAAGAAATCCTACATATCTCACCTCTGGTATAGGAAAGAGAAAAGGCTTTCCAGTTGGGCGGACAAAGGTTTAAATGCTGGCTCCTTTTGTAAATTGTTTATTATCTCCTAGCTTCGGGATAATAATATCTTTCCTGCAGGGTAATAATTAGAGCAACATATGTATAAAGCATAGATATTCAATAAATGACAGTTGTTGTTTTTTTTTTTTTCCCCCTAGTGGGAAGACTCAGGGAACAAAGCAACGGGGTCACATTGCCCAGAAGCTGTACCTTGGGGGAAATCAGCTCATTATGGAAAGGAGGGATGGAGGCCCAGGCCCTGACCTTGGCACAGCCTGGAAAAGGTGAGGCAAGGAGACCATGTCTTTCTCGGTGATGTGGGAAAGTTAAATTAGACTGAAACTCCAAATACAAAACCAGCGCTGTGCTTTGCCCCCCTCTGAGATACTGACTGTGTGTGAGTAGAACGTACTGGGTTTCTCTGGAAGGAAACAGGAAAGCGACTCTAATCAGAGAACGAAGGTGGCAGGTGGGAGACCAGCCTCCAGAAGTGGCACACTGTGGTCCCCAAGCAGATCACTCCAGAGCAACTGGGCCAGCAGAACTGGGACGGGGCCGAGGAGGGTCCATATTTCACCAGGACCCACGACACTCTGCTATTTCTCAAGGACAGGCTAGGGAACCGCTCCTGCGGTGAAGGCACCAGGCGTGGGCCTGGGAAGGGCTCAGCCCAGATTCCAGCTGGGCACCAACTCTCCACGTCCAACTTTAAAACTGTCTGGAAAACACGACCCGGACCCAGGGCAAGGCAGGCTGCAAACATATACGCACAGGGAAATGGCCTCGGAAGCGATGTACTCGGGGCGCCTGGGTGGCTCAGTCGGTTAAGCATCTGACTCTTCATTTCAGCTCAGGTCATGATCTTAGAGTCAGGGGATCAAGCCCCGCATCAGGCTCTGTGCTCAGCGTGGACTCTGCTCCTCCCCCTGTGCTCTCTCGCTCTTTCTGGTTCTCAAATATATAAATAATTTTTTTTTTTTAAGTGATGTACCAAATTCCATACACACAGGCAGATGCGTGCATTCCTATGTACGTGTACGTGTATACACACAAATACAGACGGACACGCTTTGGTGTGCGTTCATACATGCACACATCATGCATGCACGTTCACACACACACACGTGCATGCACACCTGCACACTACACGTAGGTGTATCCTCACACAAGCTCTACTTTAGTACTAATATTGTCCCCGTTTTCCTGAAGAGGAGCCGGAGACACGGAGCCAGTAAGCAACTCGCCTAAGGTCACACAGCTGCTCTGCGGCAGAGACAGGGTTAGAAACAGGACGGGCCGGCTCCAGAGTCCCTGCCGGGGCCACTAGATGGTAACAGATAACCCACGAGGTGAAACGGTCGAAGCCGAGAGTCATCACCTCTGCCAGCCACTTGTGGCCTGGGGTTGGCTGTGTCCAGGGAGGATGGCCGAGAATTCCTCCCATTCCTGTACACGCGTGTTGTCCCCCCCCGACCCCACGCGGGGGTGCCTTTCTCCTGCCCCCGAATTGGGGCCGACCTGTGCCCCCTGAGAAGGAGAATGGGAAGGGAGTGAGGTCGTGGGAACTCTGCGTCTTGCCCCCGGGAGGCCGGGCAGCCTTCACACGAGGCACTGCGGGGATCCAGCCGCCACGGTGTGAAGAAGATCGGGCTGGACTACGATGACAAGATCTCAGAGAAAAGGAGAGGCCCCAGCTGCTGCCCCAGTCATCCCAGCTGAGGCCCCAGCTGTGTGCGGGAAGCCTCACAGAGCTCCGCTGGGGAACGCAGCCACACGGACTCCAAGCGGAGCCGAAGATCCACCTGGCAGGGCTCAGCCACCCTACGCAAATGAGAAGGATAAGCGGTCCTGGTTTTAAGCCACTAAGCTGGGGGGTGATTTGCCGTACAGACAACTGGTTCACGCACCTACGGGGCTCGCAGACACGTATAAATTTGACAATAAGCAACGTTATTTGTTGAGCATGGTGCCAGGCAGCCTAGGAAGTGCTGTACATTTACTGTCCTGTTTAGTCCGTATCTTTGCTTGCTGGCCTAGCACGTATTAATATTGTTTCCATCTTACCCACAAGGAACGGAAGCCCAGTGAAGTAAACAAATAAGCTTCCCCAGGAGGTGGCAGTTCTTGGATTGGGACCGAAATCTGTCTCGTCCTAACTGCAGGTACTAGTCAGATTTCTGCAGAGAAAAGAACCCACAGCACGTGTGTGTACACGTACTTAGAGGTAGACACCACGGCCTAGCCGAGCTGACACATGTAAGGAACCCTCACACCGTATTTCCCCTACTCTGTGCCTCTTCGCCCTGCAGACCTGGACCCCACGTTCCTGGCCCACAGTCATGCTTTACTGTCACAGAGCACAAACTTAGCGACATAAAGGAGACCTGCAGTCGGGAGTCTGTCACATGGAACGGCGGGATGCCTCCAGGATGCAGCAAGAGGCTATCAGCCATGTTGAAGCTGCCGAGGAATTAGAGAAGAAGGGCAACTGGCAGGCCTGAAATAGATCGCAGGTGCTTCCGTCACCAGGTGACAGAAACAAAGATGGCGGCATGGAATGCCTACTGGAAAGGGAGGGAAGGACCTGAGGTTGGGTCTAGGACCTGGCTTTACTCCCAAACAGCTGCATGACCGTGGATCATACGTCACCTCTCTGGGCCTCATGTCCCCAAGCAAGCTTGGTGATGTCCAAAGAAGGGTCCAGTTCTTTACATGACTCTCTGTGGCTTCGGATCCCACACAGGTCATTGCATAACATCTACTCTTGACGGGGGGAAGCCCAGTGAACGCCACTTTGCCACCACAAAGACACTGTGGGACAGAGCGCATCATCTGCTTTCTGGTGGCCACACAGTAAGTCACTGATGGAACCTCTGAAACCCAGGAACCCCCAGACCTCGGCTTCTCTCCTATTGGTTAGTCCCACACTGTTCCCACTCTGTTCTCACACACTGAATTCTAACTCCCCTTTTGTAGGAACTCACATGCAGCCGACACCTCCAACGTGTCCCACAGCCGCCCAGCAGCTCCTCCGTTAACGCAGAAGCCTGGTGAGAGGCTATTGCTGTCATTGGGGGTCTGTTTCCTTGTCCCCACCAAAGCCAGCTACTTCCTTCAAGTTGGTATCCGGCAGGCCAGGAAGTTTCTTTTTCCCTGCAATCCATCGTATGTGGGAAGATCAGGACCTGCCAAGTGCAAGGATGGAACCAGGTAGGCACACCTGGTCACTCAGCCAGGCCCGAGCTGGGGGGCAAGGCTGATGGGCAGTGAGGACAGCAGGAGACTTGCTGTGATAATTAATCAGGAGCATTAGCATCATCCTGAAGAACCTCTGGGTTGCTCCAAAGCCAGTTAGGAAACTGACCTCACCCCCTTCCTGTCTCATAAACCCCCTGTCTCCAGTCCATCTAGGACCAAGGGATGGAATATTTCTCCATGTCCAGCACAACAAAGCCTGTCTGAGGAGCCCGTGTGGACATCAGATGGGACCACCTCTCATCTCATCTCATGAATGCGAACGCTAAGGCCGACAATCGAACCAGTGGATATGAAGTACTCGGTGCACGCAAAGCCCCGTTCTAAATGCCTGACGTGCAGTGGTTTGCAGAGTAACCAGCACCTGTGGAGGTCCACGCCCTAATCCCTGAAGCCTGTGACTATTTAGGTGGCATGGCAAAGGCGCATTCAAGTGGCAGATGAGAAGAAGGTGAATATGTGCAAATGTTAAAATAGAAAGATTATCCTGGACTATTTCTGTGGGCCCAATGTAATCAGAAGCATCCAAAAACGGGAGAGGGAGGCGGAAGGCAGAATCAGTCAGAGTTGGACGTGACTGTGGAAGAAAGGCATAGACAGGTGTTAGGTTGCTGGCTCTGAAGATGGAGGAAGGGGACACTAGCCAGGGAATGAATGCAGGGGCTTCTAGAAGCTGGGAGCAGCAAGAAAACACTTCTCCCCTGGAGCCATGAGGAGGCGGCAGCCCTGTGTTCCTTGATTTTAACCCAGTGAGACCCGTGTTGGACTTCTCACCTACGGAATTGTAAGATAATATACCGTGTTGCTTGAAGACACTGAGCAAAGGAAACCGAATACGTGAACCAACTCACTCAGTTAATTAAAGTTCTTACAATAACCCTATGAAGCGATGTAACGGTACCACTACGGCTGCAGGAATGCCGTGTAACAAAACACCCCAGCTCCGGGCAAACAACAATAAGCACTCACCTCTCACTCACGTGTCTGCCATCAGCTAGGGGCCGGCTGGTACCAGGAGGGCATGTCCGAGCTCAGCTCCACAGAGGTGTGAATTCGGAATCTGCTCCGTGTCTCTTCTCCTCTGCAGACTGGAGGCTGTCCAGGGCATGTTGTCACCATGAAAGGTAGGCAAGCAAAGAAGCCCAACCTCGTCCAATTTGCGCCTTCCACTCCCGTTACGCTGCTAACACCCCATGGACCAAAACAAGTCGTGTGGCCGAGATGGACGTCACTGCAGGAGGAGTGCACCTGCCCACCTGGAGGCCACAGCCACAGTGTGCATGTGTTAATTTGATGATGGGGGAGGGAAGAACTGGGACTGATAATTCCGTCTACCACAGAAAGACCCTACTGTCAGCATTCCAGTTTGGAAAGGAGGAAACCAAGGCACAGAGGCTAATCCAGCATCCCACTGCTAGTCAATAATGCAGCCAGGATCAAAATCTGATCTGGCTTCCGAACACGGGTCAGGGACCTACACCTACTAAGTGGGGGAGCTAGGACACCATGGGTCTAAATGTCACAGTCTCTGGGGCAGGAAGGGGTGCCCTCAGGGGTGGGGGGTGGGGGAAGGCACTGCAGTGATCTCCAGAAAGAAGAGGAAGACACTGCGAGAGGTTGCTCATCAAAAGTGGAGCGAGGCTGAGCTGTTGCTCTCATCAGCGAGGCCCTGCTGTCAGGCCCAGGCCTGGGGCCAAAGCACCTTCCAGGGATGAGGTGCACAGGGAGACCAGCAACCAGGATGAGCCAGCTGTCCACGGCTGTCACAGGACCAAATGTCCTTCTCCTCCTGCCTTGGCGGGGCTGGATTAGCTGCTTGGCAGGCCAGTTTGCAAGAAGCCGGCATGTGGGTTCCTTTGAAAGCTGTGTATCTGAAGGCCAGAACAAGGTAAAGGGGCGGTGAGAGATGCTGACAGAAAGGGATAGCCATATAATGTGGGAGGAGGGGAAGCAGGGAGTAAGGCGGGACTATTCATGAGCCCGGAGAGAGGATGCAGGAAGGGGGTGGGGGGTCAGAAGAGAGGAAAAGAGCAAAGCGATGCTCAGAATTCAACATTACAGAGAAATTTTATTTGAAGGCACCGGTTCAAAGGATCAGAAAGTCACACCGATGTTTCTGGGCATCTGGGGTCACAGGGTGAAGGTGGCAGCTCCTCACCATCATGTCCAGAGACTCGGGATGCTCTTGGGGGCGCTTCAACCTTGTGGCATGGGCAAGGGGGAGGGGGGTCACCAGAAGCCCACCACACTTGGCCCTGCAACTGAAGTCAGCGAACACTCCACTTTATGGAAAGGGCATACTAAGGATGAGAGGAGGCGTGGGGACCACCCTCTGTGTCCTACAGAAGCTGTGTCTGTCCCTAATCCTTGTCACCCAGCCAGGGCCATCCCCCCCAGCTACTTCCACCTGAAAGGGGGTGTGAGGCACTCTCCCCAGAGACAAGAAGCCCCCTAGGAGGGCAAGGGCAGTGGACACTTTGTGGGTACACGCTATGAGCCCTCGCTCACCTCCCAGATTCTCCTGCACCGCCATGCAATTCCAACAGCCCTGCTCCCGCCGGAGCTAAGAACATCCCGGCTTAGTGAAGTAAAGGGCTCTCCACAGTCACCGGTGAGTGAATACAGAGGGACCCTGATGGCAGTCCAGGTCTGCTGGGCTCATTTCAGGTCCCCTCCTCCTGACCGTGCCGCCAGCCCTGGACCCAGTACAGAGGCTGCAGCGAGGACCTCCCTGAGAGAGGGGACAGTGGCCCTTTGATTCATGCACCACCCATTCACTGAGCATCCCCTCTGGGGAAGCGCTAGTAGTAGGCTCCGCCAGAGGGGTTAAGAGCATGGACCCTGGTGTGGGCCAGTGTGGTTTTAAGTTCTGGCTTTAACATCTGCTGGATGGGGCAGCTGGGCCACATTGCTTAACCTCTCTGTGCCTTGGTTTATTCGTTTGTAAAATGAAGGCAATGGCAGCACCTATGTCTCAATAGGGTCTCAGGAGGATTAAGTGGTTGGGTAAACTCCACACTTGGAACCGTGCCTCGCACATGGTCAGTGTGATCAAAGCACTAGCTTTCATTGTTCTTACTGTGGTAGATGAAATGGACCTCGTCTTTGCCCTTATAGGAGTGCAATCTCATGAAGGAAAACGGATGTGAAATAAACACAAATAAATGTGTCAGGATAGACCCGGCTAGGAAGGAAAAGCAAAGAACAGTGGGAGTGAAGGGTGAGAAAGCATGCACCATGCAAAAATGGAGAGAACGAGCACTCCAAGCAAAGACATAGCATGTGCAAAGGCCCTGAGGTGGGCAGGAATAGGGTGTATCACTCAGCAGAGGTCAATGTAGCTGAAGAAGAGTGAGTGAGGAGAGACATCCATGCCAATTCATGCAGAGCCCAGTGGGGGATTTTGAGTTTTATCCCAAGAACAGAAATGGGGAATCCTTGGTATGTTTGGTAGGGCAGACACAATTTGATTCACATTTTGTAAAGATCGTGCTGGCTGCCAAGTGCAGATGGGATTGCAGGGGGCAAGGATGGATCCAGGGAGTCAAATTGGGAAGCTCTTGCCATGAGCTATGGGGGAGATGAGGATGATTTGGGTAGGAGGGCTGGTGGTGGATGGAAAATAAACTCAACTAAAACCCCAGATGCTGGAGGCTCACGAGGAGAGAAACCACAAGTCAACCAGGACTGTCAGCTGGCTGGCTCCCTCCCCCTGCCCTGGCCAGGGACAAGCTGTCATGAGTACTCAAGGCACCATCATGATCAGCCAGATTGGAACGTTCTAGAACACCCCTCTTAGAGGAGTTCACCTAACAAGGCCTGTGCCAGGTCCATGATGAAAGGTGCTGCTGACCTCGGAGCTGACCCCCTCCCTGGGAAGGGAGGCCATGGTGGGGAGCATCTGCAGATTGGATATGCTCCATCTTGACGAGGCCACTCGTGGCATCTCGAGAGGGGACGCTGTGCTCTGATGTGAGGGGACAGGGGCATCCACCTGAGGGAGGCATCCTCTCCTTGGGCACGGAACTCCTCCCACACTCCCCAAACCACACCAGGTTCTGAGCTGCCTATGGGGAGGGACCATGTCCCACCAGGTCTGCAGTCCGTGCCTGGCACAGACTCTCGGTAGGGCAACCTTCTCACTGGAGGACTGGCTCTGTAAGGACAGTCCCCATTTTATGCCTCCTTCCAACTCCAGTGCCCAGCACAGACCAACTACAAGACGTGCATTCAGTCAAATGTGGTACAAAAGAACAAATGACTCTCCTCCATTCCCTTAGAGTCAACTACTCAATCACCGAATCAAGGGCCATGCTGAGAAGCACGACAAACTGTAGCCGATGCCCTAGAGGAGCAGGCTGGGAAGCCAGACACAAGCAGAAAGAGACAAGGCCTGTTCCGACTGGCCCTCCAGGAGGCATTCAGACGGCGTCTTTCCGACGGAGCAGTTGACTTCCAGGCAGAAGAGCCCAGAGGGAAAGCGAATGAAGAAATGGAATTTGAGCAGAGGCAGGGTTTGGGTAATCTGAGGGGCGGCCAGTTAGAGAGAGGGGACCCCCTCACTCACTGAACACCCGTCATTGGGCAAGCCCCAGAGAGACTCTTCTCCGAAGAACCCTGGAGCCGGACCTCACGGCCCACATCACAGTTAAGGACACTGAGGTGCAGTCTGGTTCAGTGACTTGCCCACCATCACAGAGCCAGGAGCGGGTAGAGCTGGGGACGAACCCAGCCCTGTCTGTGGTCCCCTCAGAAGGGGGCACGACAGGATCAGGTACAAAAGTCAAAGAAAGATAGTGGTCAGTTCAAAAGACGGAGATGAACCCCGCATGAGAGGCGTCTGTCATGAGGTGATGAGCATGGAATCATAGGGTGGGGTGACACTGAGGTGGGCTTTAATAGATGCTAGGAGGTCTGACCACCTTTGATCGGAGGGCCAAGGACAGAGCTGTGCTTTCGGAATCTGGACCTGGCCATCAGGAGGTGAGGAGAGAGACTGGAACCTCAGCACGCCCCACCAGAGGGCAGGACTGGAGAGGCGGGGGAGAGACGGAAGGAAGCAGGACTTGGGGCCAACAGGAAGGAAGCGAAGCAGAGGCAGGACTGCTGGCTGGAAAGGGTCCAGGGAGAGGGAGAAACCACTTCTCCTTCCCTTTCTGATGATGGCAAGATTATGACTGCACAGCAGGGCTGCAGAGGGCAGGACTTCCCAAAAATCGGGAGGGGAAGAGTTCTGCGCATGTGTCCGAAACAGAGGCTGCAGTCCCCAAATCATGTGGTCACCTCTGACCTCTTCTACCCACCCTGGAGCTTCATCTGCAGTGTGCTCTGCACTCGGGCCCTCGGAGACCCCGCAGTGCCCCTTCCTCCAGATATCAAGGCAAAAGAGAGGCACAGAAATCACGGAGATCCAAGGGTCAGCGGCCATAGACAGCAAGAAAGGCGGTGTCACCCCATGCTATGGGTAGAAACCCACGCACAAGAGGCAAATAACTTGTCTAGTATCACACAGTGAGTACTTGCCAGAATCAGGAATCAGACGCAAGGCCTTCGGTGTAGACCTTGCCTGTATCCATGTGGGACCCAGCAGGAGGCGGCGAACGAATACCCCGACCTTCCTCCCTTCCTGCCCACCCGCCCCACCTCCCAAACAGAAGCCAGAGGGCCCAGGAGCCCCGTGCGGCATCCATCCTCTGGCACCCACACAGGCCAGCCTCCCCGTCACAGGACAGGGTGGACGGGGTGGGGGGGATCTGGAGGGGGACAGGGAGATCACCCAGCACCTCGCCACTCCCACAGCCAAGACTGTGGTGGGTACTTGGGCCTGAGCTGCCTCCCCTCTGCAGAACCCTGGGGCAGAGGCCCCAGGCCTGGGCTCTGCAGCAGGAGGCCACCTGGCTCTCCGTCAAGGGTAAGGCCCCACACATGCCAGGACTGTCTCCACCCACAACTGATCCAGCATCTTCACATCCCCTCCTTCCTTCCGCATTCACACCCCCTGCCCTGCCCCACCTCGATCATATGCAAAAATCTCCCAAGGGCCTGCTTCCAAGGCCGCCAGGGAAGGCTGGGCGCGGCTGGTTGTCCCGTGGAAGAGATGGGGGCCCGCCGATGCCCACCCTGCGCCCTGGCCCGCCCCCAGCCTGCCTGCCAGCCCCGCACACTGAGGCCTGGCTGCCGGTAAAAAGAAAGGGCTCCTATCTCTGATTCCTCAGGGCCTCTGATAAGAAATGTCATCCCTTGCTGGGTAATATTACCCGCCCGATAAGAATCTCTATCAAGCTCAAACATATGGCTGGCTACAGAACACAGAGCCCAGCAGAGCAGGATAATTTATTTGCTTAAGCTGAAAGCCCTGGGCGGCCGAGAGAAGTACACTGAATAAAAGAGGAAGGAGCCAAATTATAACCTCTCCGACTTGCATGGGGATTTTCAAGGGGAAGGCTGGGGCACCTGAGGACAACAGGGGGCCCTCCTCGCTTTCCTCCCGACAGGATAAACACTTTCCCCTGGTCTTCCCTCAAAGGGCACTTTCACTTACGCTATCACAGCTAATCCTCAAGACAACCTCAAGAGAAGCATTTTTAGCCTCCTTTTGCAGATCAGGAAATTGAGATTCAGCAAGGTTAAGTAACCTGGCCAAGGTCACACAGGCAGCCAAGCAAGAGCTCAGACTTGGACCCCAACAGGCCTGACTCACCAGTGTGTAGCTGCTGGGACCAAATTAATCAACGGGGTCCAATGTGCCCAACTTAACTGACAGGGTCAGCTACTCATCACCGTCTCAAAGGTCCACGGCAAGCCTCTCCCCCTCGCTGGGTCTCTACAACCTGGAATGAGGAGGAAGCCTGGCGGGCACAGAAATTCAAGGGAGAGAGTGGGGGCCGGGGGGGGGGGTGGCGTGTTCTGGTCAGGGGACAGGCAGGAGCGACAGAACGTGGTAAGTGTGGGCACAGTAAGGATAGGCGGCTCATTGGGGAGAGGTGGCTGTCAGCACACTCTACACTCTTCCATGCCCCCCTTGCTTCAGCAACACTGTTAAGGCTGATAATGCTTTTTGAAAGTGAGTATCACTTTAAGATGGTTCCACATTACTTAATAAAGCCACTCATTCTTTTTTCCTTTTTAAAGATTTTATTTATTTATTTGACAGAGAGACACAGCGAGAGAGGGAACACAAGCAGGGGGAGTGGGAGAGGGAGAAGCAGGCTTCCCGCGGAGCAGGGAGCCCGATGCGGGGCTCGATCCCGGGACTCTGGGATCATGACCTGAGCCGAAGGCAGACGCTTAACGACTGAGCTCCCCAGGCGCCCCAAGCCACTCATTCTTTTTAACAGCTGCATAGTATTTCATTTCAGGACACATCATGACTTAATCAACCAATCCCGAACTGAGGGGCTTTAAAAAGACTGTGTCTCATAAAGACACACGGACAGGTGAAGCACAGAGTTTGCATAGGATACTACAACGGTAGATACCTGTCGCACACTTGTCACAGAAGGTACAACACCGGGAATGGATCCTAATGGACTAGGCGAGGGGTGGGCATCGGCGGGCCCCCATCTCTTCCACGGGACAATCCTATGGACTCTGGATGCTAATGACGTCAGTGTAGACTTGTCAACTGTAACAAGCATCCAACTCTGGTGTGGGATGCTGATGGTATGTACATGGGGACAGGGTGGATATGAGAGCTCTCTGCATTTTCGACCCAATTTTTCTGAGACCCTACAATTGCTCCAAAAAATAAAGTCTGTTTAATAATAATAAAAACCAATCGATCACACAAGTGTGAGTCACAACTGGCTCAATTCTATTCTGTTTACTATTGACTTTCTTTTCCCCTGAGTTTGGGTCATACTCTCCTGCGTCTTAACATACCCAGTAATCTGATCAAAAACGAGGCATCGGATGTCAATAAAATAAATAAATCGTCTTATCATTTGCCATTTCTGAAGGTGCTATTCACACCATCTGCACCTGTGTATGTGTTTCTCAAGGAAAAATTCCTAGAAGTCACCCAGTGCCTTATAAACTCGGTTTTTCCTACCCTTCTCATTCAGCAAAGTCTCAATACTGAGCCTCGACAAGCCGGTGGCTCCCTGCATGCCCACCCTCCTCAGGCCTTGGTGGGACTCTGCTAAGAGGACCTTACTACTCCGTGTGAGCAGCAACTGCCACTTCCACAAAAGCACATGAAGAAACAAACATACTTCACTTTTGGTCGCCAAAAACCCACTCTTCCTGCCACTTCCTCCTCCGGACCCTGGTGACTTCATTCTGGAATCAAAGTGAACACTAAGCAAGACACCAACCTCTCTTCATTCAGGCCATTCCTAGAGCTGGTCAACATTCTTCTTTTCCTTCTGGGCCCTGAGATGTTCAAAAATGCAGATAGCCCAAGGCTGGAGAGAGGCAAATCTCCACCGGAGCTCAGGACTCTGCTAAAATCACAGCCTGACAACCTAGGAAAACACAGTAAATATCAATTATGCAATTTGGAGCCTGGGGCACCTTGAAGAAAAGCATCTATTACAAACAAAATCCTCTGATAATCAGAAGATAAAGAACACTTATCTCCCCGGCTGAAATGAAGAAGAACCTAAGGTAAAGGAGGTCATCCTACCTGGGAGAGGTTGGTATCCACTGAAGACCACAGTGGATGCTGAGGGGTGCACAAACATGAGTACAGCAGAACCCCTCCCCGTCCTAAAGGATTCAAGACCCACCAAGCGTCCCGAGAAAAAGGCTGTGATCCATGTGGTCACAGAGGGAGGGACCAAGAGCTTTGGGAACAAAGAGGGAAGCAGGCACTGTGTCTTGCACAAGTTAGAGAAGAGGATATTTGAGCTAGGTATTGAAGAGTAGGGGGTCACCAGGCAGAGAAAGGGGAGGGGACTTTCAGATGTCTTAACATCATGTGTGACATGGAGTGTGAAAGAGTGGCCAGTGGCCAGGCAGTAAAGGGTAGCCCTCATGCTATGTTAAGAAGTTCCACTTTTCCCTACAGATGCAATGGGGAGTCAGAGAGACTCCTGAGCAGTGGAGTGACAGATTACCTCTACGCCTCATCAACACCATGAAGGGACCCTTGGCCACAGGGGACCCAGTGTACATGGTTCCCAGGTCATCCTGCAAAGCAACAGACATAGTGGTCAAACCAGTAGCCTCCAGAGCCAGCAATCTGTCTTCAAATCCCAGCTCTGCCACCACCAGGTTGCGAAAGTGGCTTATCTAGTCCAGTCTTCCCATCTGTGAAATGGGGGTAATGGCAGCAGAGGTTTCACTTAGTGCTAGTATGCGGATGGTGAATTGGATAAAGTTGATATATGTAAGGCGCTCACACCAGTGTCTGGCGCATGACGGGGGCACAACATGTGACAACTGGGGGGGCGCTGCTCCCATCTTCCCTTTCGCCCCGATTTCCTCTTTCAGCACTGTCGTTTCTTCTGAGACATGAGCTGCCCTGAATCTGAGCAAAGGTGAGCAGGTTTCAGTCCAGGTTTGCTTTAGGAGGGCTGCAGCTCTTGTCTGAAATAGACTTTGAGGACTGCTGGCTTCTCATGAGCTTCCCAGCATCCCAGTAGCAGGTGACATCTAAGACAGTGGCTCTCAACACTGTTGCATCGAAGATTAATCTGGGGAGATGTTACAACCTCAATGCTCAAGCCCCATTCCCAAGACAGAATCTTTGGGTTGGGGCGGGGGGGAGTGGGGTGGGGTGGGGAAAGGCAGGTATGGGGAATTCCTGCAGCGAGATTTTTAAATTCCTCAGGTGAGTCCAGCATTATACCCCATTTGAGAACAACTGATCTAAGGGCCGAACTGAACAAGGAAGGGAACCATGGCAATGTTCTGGAAAGTGCTGCCATCCTGAGTTGGGTAATCTCCAGAAGGCACCTGGCTCCCTAGGTTTCTGCTTCCTCACGCACAGGGCAATGCCTGGGCACCTTACCTCTTCCTGGGATGTCCCACCGAGCTTGCAAATGCGAAAGTGCCCTGGATCACTACGATTGTGACAGAGCTGTCAAAACTCTTCTGGAAATAAGCAAACCCATGGAATACCAACACATACAACCATGTAGGGACATGCAGTGGAAAAAGCCTTGGTTAGATGCACAGAGCTGGTAACCAGTTAAGGTCTCTCGCTAACCAAAGATGTTACTAGCAATCCCATCCTTTTTGTCTTCAGCTTTGTCCACGGCAGACCAGGGATAAGAACTGCCTTGCCAGTCAGACAAGGGGTCTGTGAGGTGCACATAGGAAGACACAGGTCACACTATGAAGGGTCAGGCTACTGTAAAGCATTTTTATTCCACATTTTCTAGGTCCTCCAGGCAACATGGAAAGTTCCAGAGAGAGAAAATGCCCCCTTCCACAACTGTTGTAACGGAGAGTAGGGAGGAGACAAGGAGCAGTGCCGGCCACAGGAAAGCTTTCTTCGCGGCAGGCTGCAATGGACCCTGTCAGGGTCCAAGTGGGGATCAGTGATAGGCCAGGAGAGCAGGGTGGGGCCGAGGGCGGCTCCAGGGAGACGTTAAGATAGGAAATGCTATCTGGGAACAATGGAACCACCATATCGTTGTCCTGGCCTGGATCTGACAAGCGGGGATAAGACTCCAGGAAACATGTCCCTCGACAACTGACCAGAAGTGGCCCCAACAGACCACTGGCCTATTACTTTGGTTTTGCATCCATTCCTGCATGCACCCTGCAGTGGGCATACATCCACCATGTACCAAGAACTGTGTTAGAAGGTGGGGATGCAGGGTGCCTGGATTGGGGGGGTGGGGGTAGGTGAGTCGGTTAGGTATCTGCCTTCAGCTCAGGTCATGATCCCAGGGTCCCGGGATTGAGCTCCGCATCAGGCTCCCTGCTCAGTGAGGAGCCTGCTTCTCCCTCTCCCTCTGCCTGCATCTCTGCCTGCTTGTGCGCTCTCTCTAGCTCTCTCTCTCTCTCTCAAATAAATAAATTTTTAAAAAAAGAAGAAGAAGGTAGGTATGCCAAGATGAATAAGACCTGGTCTTCACCCTCAGGAAGGACAAAGGACAAAGACAAGGCAAACAAAGAAGTAACATTTAGGTACAACACTATGGCAGTGTGTTGTGTATTTCATATTTAACTTCTCAAATCCTCAGTGTCCCCTCCAAGTAAGGTACTAGCTCCATTCTACAAATATGGAACCTTAGGCTTCGAGAGGCAGGTTACTGGACACGGATCACACAACAGTTAAGAGGCTGGGCTCCCGTTCCGATCCAGAACACTCGGGCTCCTTCCCCCACAGCTTAGTTCGACAACCCAGAGAATCAAAAGGCAGTGATCTTTCTCTCTCTCTCTCTCTCTTCTCTCACACACCTCTTCCAGGCACAATGTCCGCATTTGGAGAAAGTTTAAGCACCGTAAGAAGCAAACAAGAAACACAATTAGGCACAGCACGCAGCCTACGCTTATGGCTCAATAAATACTTAAGAATCAGAATCCAAATATAATAGCATTGGAGAAGCAGAGCAGAGGTGCGAGGTGTTCGGGACGTCGCAGACCCGGGCCTGAATCTCAGGCTCAGGATTTACACCTCCCTGAACTTCAGGGGCCTCGTCTTAAAAATGGGAATAGTATAACCTACTAGAGGCCGACTGGGACGAGGTCCACACAATGGGGACAGTCTCCTGCCCTCAAGACCCCTGCACCACGCCTCGGGCTTGGGGGACATAGAACAGCATGTGTCCCGCACAACCAGGAGAGAAGCTGACCAGTGTCAGAAGCTCCCGCTGAGTCTGGAAACGGGCCCCACGCGAGGTGCCCGACGCCTTCCACACAAGCCCGCTTCACCCGGACTCGGCAGCGCTCGAGGAAGGGGCATGTGCTCACTCCGGGCGCTGCATCTGCGCCAGGCCTGGGCCACCACCCCACGGAAGCCTCTTAGGCAGGCTTCTTCTCTTGACAAGTTCACACTCCCTGGTGAACAGTACTCAGAAAAGCTGGGGTACAACCAAATGGAGGTGCTGGGGCAGGTACAGGGAACAGCTGCCCCAAGGGGCTCTGACTTAACCTTGCCTGAGTCCTCACCGTCCTGTGGGCACCAGTTAGTTTTTATTTTGTTTATTTTACCAGCAGGGAGGCTATCCCGGTTTGAATTACAGAATAGAATATGCCTCCAGATTCGACAACTGCTAGTAGCTGGGTGGTCTTAAGCTAGTGACTTTACCTCTCTGGGCCTGAGTCTGGGCCTGGACGTTATCTTGAAAAATAGACACTCATCTACTCAAGAGATATTTACTAGGTCCCTACCTGTGCTCCAGGGAATACAACCACTGGGCAAAATCAACAGAAATCTCTTCATGTGTGGGGCTCAACAGGGATGGGGGAGGCAGAGAGCCGACAAACAAACAAACAAGAGGGTCAGGCGGTGCTGAGTGCTCCAGAGATCCATCAAGAAAGAACGGGAATGGGAGATGGGGCGTGAGGTGGGTACTGTTTTGCACGCATGGCCAGGAACGGCTTCTGTGACAAGGAGCCATCTGAGCTGCGTGTACTCTGTGCAGGCTCGGATCCAGGTAAGGACAGGTGTGTCCCATGGACTAGCTCACTCCACCCTCTCCAGCACCCCTAGAAGGAAGCCAGTGCCCCTCTCCCCACTTTACACAGGACAAAGCTGAGACAGAGAGGTACAATGCCTCGCCCAAGGGGACAGAGGGGGATACTCGGAAGCCCAAGCTCCAAATGGCTTATGCTAATTCTTCCATTCCCAGAGCTCTGTTTGTGGGCAGCTGACGCTCTGGAAATGATCACTGATCACCGTCAATGCGCCGCAGAGAAAGAAGAAGGTAGGGCGGATGAAAGGAAAAGCAGACATGGCACCTGGCACAAAACGTAAGTACTACATCCATTTGGAAGAACAGGAATATTGATTGTAGGCTCTTCTCCCTCTCTGTCTGTCTCTGATGGACACACTGCCTTCTGTCTCTTTTTATACTCATTTTTATGTAATTTCCTCAAGGAAGAAGGCCTGAGGCCCTGTGTCCATTTTAGACTGACTTCTGATTTGCAACTTTGTTCCAGGTTCTGCTCTCTCCTGTCCCAAAGGAAAGGGCCCTCCCATCCAGGCCATGAGAGCACCTTCTCCTTCCCACGGCCATTATTCCAGAGCCAACCCTGGTGTAATTCTGCTCAAGCCACAGCCTGGAGCAATGGGAAAAGGAGGAGGGCGGGCAGCTGGTGATGGTCCTAGAAGGTCCCAAAGATGCAGACAGGGTCATATTGATCCAAAGGCTGACTACTCCTTTGAAAGATCAGCTTCTACCTCAGATTCTCACACTCCAAAAGGCCAGAAAGAGCTTCTTTAAAAACATTACTGAAGGGCGCCTGGGTGGCTCAGTTGGTTAAGCGACTGCCTTCGGCCCAGGTCATGATCCTGGAGTCCCGGGATCGAGTCCCGCATCGGGCTCCCTGCTCAGCGGGGAGTCTGCTTCTCCCTCTGATCCTCCCCCTCTCATGCTCTCTGTCTCCCATTCTCTCTCTCAGATAAATAAATAAAATCTTAAAAAAAAAAAAAAAAAACCTGGTAAAACCAGGGGCGCCTGGGTGGCTCAGTCGGTTAAGCGACTGCCTTCGGCTCAGGTCATGATCCTGGAGTCCCGGGATCGAGTCCCGCATCGGGCTCCCTGCTCGGCGGGGAGTCTGCTTCTCCCTCTGACCCTCCCCCCTCTCATGCTCTCTCTATCTCATTCTCTCTCTCAAATAAATAAATAAAATCTTAAAAAAAAAAAAAACATTATTGAAGAACTTGCTTCTGGGGATTCACCATGATGTGCTTCTTCTCTGGCCTCCTATTGGATTGGAGCTCCTGGAGGCCAGGCCTCAGGATTCTGCCCCTACACCCAGCACCTGTAGGCCCAGCATGTTTGATGAATGAATCCACGGGATGGATGGAAGCAAGGGAAAGAGAAAAGGGAGAAGGGAGAAAGGGAGGGAAAAAGGGAGGTGTGAATTATAGGGTTAAAAAAAAATGCCTATTAGATAAAATCATGGGAGGTAGAGATAAAAGGGAGAAGTGGATAAAAGCAAAATGGCCATGGCACAGTTGAAAAAAACTATGGAATACTATGCAGCACTTAAAAAAGAACAAGGTGTGT